AGCGGCGAGGGAGGGTGCGGGAGGCTCGGGAGGGTCTCTGCGGGGAGCTGCGGCGCCTTCCTCTGTAGTGCGCGGGGCTGCCCTCTGAAGTTGTTCTTGTTAAAGCTGAGTTGTTGTTCCTGCATTAAACTTTCCCTAACTACCATTCAGTTCTCTTTTTTAAATTTTAACTTCGTAATACGTGCTCTCAATCCCAAAGGTGTTTTAGAAGTTACAAAATAGCATTTTTGCTATTTTTTTGGAGAGCAAGAGGTGTTTTTTTCCTACATACTTCAAACTCAGAGCATGCTTCCTAGTACTGTAACTCACAAACAGCTTTAAGCTTCATGCTCTTGTGACAGATTTGGATTTTAAACAATGCCTTTTGCCCGTGTATGTGACTATGTAAGTATCTCTAATATTTAAGTGTTTATATTTTGATATGTGACTAAGTGGCAATACTGCAAAATGATCCAGGAAGAAGCACAACATTTTTGCCTCAAATTGTGCTAAACTGAATCCACCAAGGATCTAGTCTATTTTGAGCAGTATGGTGGAAGATTTTAGGCTTAAAAATTCCACTCTGTACTTCCGCTTGGTCAGAATATGAGCTCTTCAAAACTGGAGACTCATATTGCCTGAATCTATTCGGACCTTAATTTTAGCAAAGAGGAAATTATAGCTTTTCTTTCTAGATGCATTATTTCATTAATCTTCTGTATTTTTCTGTTAATGGCTTTCTGTTAACTGATGTCTGTGGTTTTACAGATGACATGAAATCATTACAAGAGAACTATTTCTAAATTAAATCTTGATTTAAATCTTGATTTGCAATCCCATTTTTAAAAATGAGAAAATTAATTTTCCCCTTTAATGTGGAGTAGGTAATTTTTTAAAAAAATCTACAAGTAAAACAGGATAGTGAAATTGCTGATGAAATTGTGACAGTAACTAACTATAAAAAGAAATATCATGCTTTCAGTCCCTGTGATTTTAAATATATCTTCAAAATGGCTTATTGTACAACAGGTGAAATATTTCTGGAAAGGTGAAATTAGCTGAAGTTTGAAAAGTCAGTTCAGTTTGAGAAAATATGAAAGCAGTGCTCTATAGTATAAAAAACAAATTTTCACAAAGTCTTATGAAAGTATTATGATACTTCACAGAAGTTCACATAACTAGAAAACATAGTAAACACTGAAGGAAACATTTTTGGGGGTATATTTTTGTAACTAAAGGGCAAAAGGTTATATTTGGGGATGCTTAGAAGTAAACTAGTCCTTTTTTGTTTTGTTTTGCTTTTTTTTTTTTTTTTGGTCCTAGCTTTCTCTTTTGCTTCTGCTTTTTAAAAACACAAAATGTCTGAAGTTAAGCAGAGGAAAAAAGGTATTTCTTCATCCAAGACCAGTGAAGGTTCACAAAAGGTTGAGAAGCACAGTAATTGTGGGAAGCTGGCAAGTCCCAGGACCAGCAATAATCGGAGTTCCTTTTGGATGGACTCACGGACAAGCTTAAGCATGATTTCCCTTGCTGTTTGCCTGGTGCTGACCTGGTAGGTAAACCTTTAAAGTGGATTTTAATATTTTCTTTTGTATTCTATGCTGTATTCAGTCACAGGCAATATGATTAGTTACATTTGAATATAGTGTTTGGGTTAAGTGACTGTAGAAACTTCTTAAAGCTAAAAGGATCAAGAAAAGAATAGCAGTATTCACAAGTGTGGAAACATTGGCATACAGTGAGAGATTATAGAAGCTCAATCTGTTCTATCATGTTGAAAGTTTAAAAGGTGCCTTGCTCATGAATTGTAAATACCTGCTTTGGAGACTGCATCTAACTGTAAAGAGCAACTTAATCTGACAGTAAGTACAAATAAGGCTCATGTGGCAGGTAATAAATAAATCAACAGCAGAAGTGAAGTAGAATTTTCTGTAAATAATTTGCTCAGCAATGTAGTAAATTGTTCATCAGGTGAAGTCTTCAAGTAAAGGTCAAATGTCTTTGTAAAAGATGTTTTAGAGTATCTTAGCAGCATCAGTACCTTAGTTCCATCAGAAACTGAGCTTCTTACAGAAATGATAGATGAAATTCTCAGAGCTCTAGTGCAAGAAATTAGTCCAGATTATTACACTGTAGAGGTCAATCTGAAAATTGAGGTAAAATTTTTTCTTATTTTAACATCACCCAGATTTCATTATGTAAATCTTTGAGAAACAGAATGACATAGTAGAATAAAATGATTAGTGATGCTTCTGCTTACTGTTTTATGTATATCTGTTTATGTCTGTGTTGCATGTATCTATCTAACTAGCATTTTAGCTTTTATTGCCTAACTTAATCTGTATAGACTATTGTAGATCTCTTGAAAATTCTAACTGCTATGCAATATACTAATTATCAATTTATGAAAGCACAAGTATTTTAAATAAACTCTATTGTTCTAGCTAAAATTATTCTTACTACTGAGAGGACCCCTGCATAGTCTACAATAAACCTTGTTTGGGGATTAATAAACATCCAGCAAAATTCAGGGTTCTTGCTTGGTTGTCTCATTTCCTTCTCAACTGTATAAGGTGCTTACAGTTCAGAAAGCTCCCAAGTTCACAGTAGATGAATCTAGAATGTATATAAAGTACAGCATTGAGTTCTCGACTGTCTGTTCACAAAGCTAGCATGATCATAACAGTAGCTATACAAGCTTTGCTACAATGCACCATATAGTTCTTGAATGGTTACAATTAAACAACATTAGAGTTAACCAGCCTTTCCAAAGGCTTCTATGCATGATTTTATGATGCTTTGCAAGAAAGTATGAATTATTTTTTTGTTTTATTTCCACCGGTTAAATAATACTTTCTCCATGAAATATATTGTGAGGCAATGCATTACGAACATGTAATGGCCTTGCTATGTCAGCAGTCTTATGGGATATTCTTCCTGTTCGAATGGCATACAGTGTAAAAACAAAGCACATCTATGGGTGTTTCCTTATTGTTCCACTTCTATTGGACGATAACTCCAGTATGAAGACAGCTCAACTCCATTAAATTCTAATATTTTTTTCTCTCATGTAGTGATCTAGCAAATTCTGTGAACACAAATCCCTGCAGTAAGAGATTGCTGTGAATCAGGTCCTGGAACACTTAATATATGCTAATTATGTAGTTATGCTTACTATTTATTTACTTGCAATTTGCAGGTTCCTATTTCAGCAGTCAGGTCAATTTGCTGATATGGAAAAAAAGTACAATTTCTTACAGCAAGAAGCTGAAAAATTCCTGGATGTGGAAAATAAAGTTAACTTAATTTCTGAAAAGGTAAACATTAACATCTCAATTGGATAATCTCTGGTGAACATTTGCCATTGTTCTACTTTATTGTCATTTAGTTAAATTTAACTGACTGTTTTAAAATAAATTTTCATAATGTGTTCTAATTACCTGTGAATTGACCTTTGCAGAGTATTTTATGACTAAACGTGTCAATCCATACCATTGTTCAAGTATGTGAATATATTAGTTGTATCTCAGTATTATTTTTTAGACACTAAACTATTTTTAAAAACTTACATTTATGCACATACTTCATTCTACCAGTATTGTTCTGTGTATAAGTCTAATATACATTGATCTGAAGAAAGGCATTTTTATGTAGTAAAGTAGATCTGTTCTAATAATATGAAAGACATAATGAAGTGATAGTAATATTTTTTCATTGCTATTTTATTTTCTTATTTATGTGTGACATTATCAAGTAGAAAACTTGGGCTGGCTGATAAATTGTCCTCTATATCTTACAGATAATGATGGGAGTACAGCATGACTTATGCCAGTGATGTTGTTTTAGCACTGATCTCATAACGATGTCATTTATACATGATGTAATTTGGATATTTAGATACTACACTTCAGATTGCAAAATGTTGCATGGGATTTAGGTAGTGTGATATATTTTACAAAAAAAACACCCCAAACCACCATGGAAAATAAGGGATTGACAACAAAGAAAATGGTATGTATTCTACAGAAATTCAACAACAGCATACCCTTTTCTGTGATTTTTTCATGCTAGGTTAATCAACCTAGCATATTTTAAAGATGAAATATGAAAACAAATCATATAGGAGCTTTGTAACAAGTAAAGTGACTTCTAAGGGACTTTATTATCTGTTAAATAAATGCAAGTGGTTTTCTATTCTTACTTTTGTTAAGTAGACATAGACATTGTTTTGTGTTATAAATGCAGCTTGAGTCTTCTGAAGGTATCCTACGAGAAACTGCCTCATCCATCTCTGTGATGACTGAGTTTGAGCAGGAAATATCTTCTCTTCATAACATCATAAATGATATTCAGAACAATGAACAGACTTTCTCTATAAAGATGCAGAGCATTAATGAGAAGTTCCGAAATGTAACAAATTCCTGGAGAAGCAGCTTGGATGAAATGAACACAAACACTAGTGGTTTAAAATCTGAAGCGAAGTTCATACATACAGAAGTTACTTCCCAAATTAATGAAGTTGACCAAAGAATTAAATCCCTTTCAGAAAGAGTAAAAGATTTAGAAGACAGTACAGCCAGAAATATTAAAACACTAAAAAGGCAAGAAGATGATGAATTCTCTAGAGTTGAACAAAAGTTGGACTTACATGCAAAGGCAGTTGAAGAGCTAGAAAAACAACAGAATAGTCTGGTAGCCAAGGACACAGACCTGAATCAGAAACTTGTGAACTATGAACCTAAAATTCAGGAGTGCAAGACCCATTTGCCAACAATTGAAAATGCTATTCACTCTATTCTTAGATTATCAAGTGAATTGCTAAGTATGGAGAAAAAGATAGAGGACTTGGCAACACAGCTATATACTGTGGAAAATGGTATGTTGAAAACTGTTTCTGATATAATGGCAATGCAAAAGTTTCTTGAAGGCATACAGTACAATGACAGCATATTGCAAGTGCAAAATGAAATAGTGGTTTTAGAAGAAGTAGTGCATGACATAAAAGTATCTTCAGAAGTAAAAGAAATAACTTTAGAAGGCTATAACTTAGAAAATGACCAGAATGGGGATAAGTGAATTTGGACTTACGGCTTTCATTGATGAAAGAGCACTTTAATTTATTATGAATAATGTGACTCCAACATATGTTAAGGGTAGCTGAAATATTGTCATCAATTTAAATAGGCATTGGATCAGACTGAAAGGCAAACTTACAATAAAGAGGATAGAGAGCAAGAAATACCGTGTAGGAGGAGGCAAGGAGTATTTTCTTCAATAAATTAAGGATTATTTTCAGCTTATTTATTAAAAGATCATTCTTATTTAAATGGAATTTGAAGCAAAGTATTTAGATTTAAGAAAAAAATCTAAACTTGAGACATCAGTTTAAAATTTATATTTAGTTCTCACTACTTTGTTTTTTATATTTTTACTTTTTGTATTTTTCTATGGACTTGTAACACAATGAACAATTAAGTTCGTATCTCTAGGCAGATATACATGTACCTCACTTTTAATGTATTATATACCATAATGGTTTTTTATATACGATAATGTTCTTGTGCTTACGGTACAGACTTCTCAATGTCAGAGTTGTTACAAAGATCTACATATTTTATTACGTGCAGGGAAGAACCAAGTACATTTTTAACAGCCAAAGCTTATATACAACAGCATTACAGAAAACACTAGTAAAGTACCCCTTACTGAGAACCTTCTCTTGTACTGGTTTGCAGTGCATATATGCAGGGGGTTTCATAGCAGCTGGTATTACCTTTTATTTCTTTGAGCCCATGCAAATAGCCTCCTTAGACCTGATTCCCAGCCTTTTCAAACTTTCTAAAATCACTGGCGTAGTTTTCTTCTGCCATTGAAGTCATTGGACTACACATAGGCTGAAATTCTTATTAACAGATACTCCTGTTAGGTTCTTCCATCATTTAATCTGCAAGTTTGGTTTGATCAGGCACTGTATTAGTGTGGGGGTTTTTTGTTTGTTTGTTATGGTGCTGTTAGAAACAAGTTTCTTCTGTAGAATGTTCTCTGTTAGGCATTACATGACATGTCTGGTATTGCTTTGCATTTCAAAGGGAAAGATACTTAACAGTGGCACTGACTTGTTTCCCAAAGTTTGGTGAACCAAGAGCTGCAAAAGCAATTAATGAAAGCCATGGAGTTACGTACGTGGGGGCAGGGAGTATCTAATTTATCCATAGATCTAATAGATCTACTTACACAGGATGTAGCACTACCTAATAGGCCTGGTAGCTGTTCATTGAAATTTGTATCTCAGGACCACCATAAATTTTTGTCTACAGACTTATGTCTTGATAGTGCCCGATGCCTCATTTCTGAACTCAGGAAAGGAGATTGCTTAGCAGACAGCATGAACCCACAACATTTATGACTTAATCAGGCTTAAGTTAAATTATTCTGGTTTTGTACATTCATTTATCTAGAACTCTACTGAAGTCTTCACTGAACAGTTAATGCTGCCCATTCAAGAGACTATTAAACCAGCATTTCTCAATGTTATAAAGTCTTTCAGTTTCATATATTTATTACTTATGTATATATTTGTATTTGTTTACAGTCATATTCAATAAAATATATTGTAGTGGATTGCCCTGTTCTGGTACATAATCTAGTTCAAAATAAATTGCTCTTCCAGAAAGGGTATGGAATAAATAGTTCAGTGTTCCATTAAGAAATACTATTCTATAGGGAAATGTTTTTTAAATACTTTTCACAAGTGCATTCCAGTGTGTTTCTACGTCATATATTTCTGGGGAAGGGTGGCTAAATTACCAGTAGTATGCTCTCCCATTTAATGTCTTTCATCAACCTCAACCCTATTGAAAGCTGAATGTACACAAGATTGAACAGGAAATCCTCATCCTTAGAGGGCATTACCTAGGAAACCAGCACAACTCCCCACAACCTAAATTTTGGTATTTTGTTTTTAAGCACACAGTTCTGTGCTAGTGAGGAATGACCAATACTATCAAAAAGTTAAAGATACTTTTTTCTTTGGTGATATTTTTACTACTAGTGTTAAGAAAAGGATTAGTATGAAACTAGTAAGAGCCTCTGAGAATGTGTTTCAGCTTGCCCATTTGGTGTTTTTTTCTCTCCAAGTCCTACACTGGCTTATTGGGGATTGAACAGGATAGAATCACTTAGGTATTTTCCTTTCTTCCTCTCAAATTTGAAAACCAAGAACCAATCGTTAAAAAAAACCAAAAAAGTGAACTAGCACATTCAGCCAAAAATCCAACAGTAGCATGAGTGTTCCCTCATTAACATAGCTTTTGTGGAGGCAGGCGGTTTAAGTGATGTTTTTCCTGTGAAGTATTTTGGTGGCTATTTAAACAAAAGGGAACCATACCTAATTCCTTTGGCTTTTTCTTCTGTGAACACCATGTTCAAAATACGTATTATGATTACCAAAATAAAAACACGTTGGTTAATTATGGTCCATGATTTTTGGATAAGAGAATTTTAAAGTAGGCATCTTTCTAAAATGTTTCTGAGTATCTTTCTACATGTGTCTTTCTGGAAAATGCAGGTTATAGGCTTAATACAAAAATTTCTGTAAATCAGAAGATTGCATTTGATGACTTGTGTTTTCAGAGGTCATGCTGGAAAGTCATATAGCACCTTCCTGTAATTTTTGTTATAATAGAAAAAGTAGTAACATTTGAATTTGTTATGTATACTGAAAGGAAAAAAAAAGAAATTTTTGGTTCTGTTGCAACAGAAGTTTATTTCCTAAAGACGGGGTTTGCCCTCAATTTCAGTATCAGAATAGTAAGATATTTCATTAGAATATAGCTTTAATTTTGATGTGAGTCATTAAGCTAGAAATCTTGTCAAATATTTTTATTTGTATCCCTCTAGTGTGAAAAGACTTGGAACTTAATGGAACAGCTGGAAGATCTTCAAATGATTTCTCACATTAAACATCTGCAGGAAGATATTTATACAATGAAAACACGGTCTAGCAGCATAATTAAAAAACAAGAAGAACTGCAGAAGAATTTAACAACTCTTTTTCATGCAGTTTCAAGTGTTGAACAGAATGCAGCTTCTGTAGCAAAAAACATAACTTTGACGATTGTGACAGTAAAAACTGACATAAGGCGCATTTCAGGCCTAGTCTCAGATATGACTGCGTTGACAGATTCTTTGCAAACACTAGAAGATAAAGTAGAAAAAGGTGAAAAGACGACAGTAAAAAATATAGGTGACCTGCTTACCAGTAGCATCGACCGAAGTACAGAACTACAAGGCTTGGCATCCAGTAACGCAAGAAAAATTGAGCAAATTAAGACAGCGTTATCTGAGTTAAGGAGTGATTTTAACAAGCATTCAGATAGACTTCTGAATCTCGAAGGTGACAGAGCAAAAGTTCTGAAGACAGTTACATTTGCAAATGATTTAAAACCCAAGATGTACAAACTTAAAAAGGATTTTGCCATCTTGGAGCCATTAATAAATGACTTAACACTGAGAATAGGAAGATTAGTGGAGGATGTATTACGACGGGAGAAGGAAATTGCTTTACTGAATGAGAAATTGGCCAATCTAAGAAGGGTTCAAACTGAGATCAAAGATATGAAAGATGAAGTAACCAAGATTTCAGACATGAATTGATCATCACTGTGAAATGTCACTGCCTAAAGAATAGCAGTGTTTGAGGAGTGTTAACTCCATCATGTGTAGTACTAAGAAGAAAGACAGTATTTAAAGGCTTCATTTAGAAGCATACTGAAACTTAACTAGAGATTTGTCCTCTTCCTTTGAAAAGGACTGAAAAAAGTCATACTGATTTCAAGGGACAAGCTGTAATGTGAGCAAAAAACATGTCTCTGTGCACGTATGTGTCTTTCTGAAGGATAACAGGTGCTATATTTAATAAATTACGTGTTTTGTACAATAGAACAGTGTTAAAGCATAAAATGTTACCTTCAGAGTCTGCTTTCATAAAGAAAGCAGGACCCAAGACTGACAGATCTTCAGCTTTCCTTTCCTGCTCCAAAGGAGGGAATAAAATTGTGGTTTCCAGATAGAATAAAACAAGAGTTAGTCAAACTGCAGTAGCAATTTACTATTTGTCTCAATATATTCACCCTATGATTTTTGTAAACTATAGCACTTTCCTTTTTTTTTTTAATTAATATTTAAAGAGGCAAATGCAGTGAAGCAAGCAATGCCCAGAAATATTGCTGATGCCTTGCAAAAAGTTTGTCACACATTTAGATGGAATAATTTGTATAAGGTTTTCTGTGAGGCTTTATAATTGTAAATTATAATTACTGTGCAGCACTGTTATGTCTTTAAAAGACAGAACTCTATATGGGGACAATGCTTTGAAAGACCTAGTAACCCTACTGATGGCTTTTTCCCAGTGTCACAGTACCTGTTCAGGAATCCTAACAGTGTTATTCATTCATTGTTTCTTAGCCTGTAAAACACTACAGTGAGCAGCAGAATTAGCAAAGAGAAGCTACTTAGATCCCAAAAGGTTAGACTGATATGAGCCACTGGCAGTATTTCTGTGGTAAAAAGCAAGAGTTTAAGAGATCTGAGACGTTTGAAAATGCGGTAAGCAGTAGACTGAAATAACAAGATAATGGGAATGGATTTAGCAGAGGAAAGGGGGAGAAGTGCATTAAATAGGAATAAAAATTACTATAAAACCCAATTAGGAGAGATACAGCAATTAAGAAAATCCCTATAAATGAAATTATATCAAGAAGTATAAGCATACAGTAAGGCCTTTGTAACTTCTCAATTGTTTAGTTGGTCATACCTGAACATCTTGCAGCTACTAGCTACTCTTGATTGTCTGGAAGATACAACCATTCCCCTCCCTCACTATTCTCATCCTCATTCAGCATTCCGTATCTTATGGCCTGCTTCATGTCATTGGTCTTCTGTACCTTGCTTGCTTTGTTGCCCTCAGTCAACCTCAAATGCTTTGTTTCATCAAGTTTTCCTCTTTTTGGTAGAAGGCCATTCTTACCTCCCAATTTTCTTTTACCCCTTTCCAGTCCACCTGACAGACTGCAAGGATAAACCTGTCAAAAGACAAGTTTTCCTAGAAAGCATCCACAGAAACTAATTACCAACCAGTGTCCCTTTGCTCTTTCACACAATTCTTAAGCAAGCCCCTGAAAATAACCAAATGGCATTTGAGGGAAACAGAAAAATTAAAACATCCAGAATGATTTTTTCATACCTGAAAAAAAATATATAAACATGCACATACATACACCATAAGAGTTTGGGGTTTACATAATAAATATATCTCATTTGTATATTAAAGCCTAATATTCACTGAATCCACCAATCCCGGGGGCGTTTTTTTTTGTGCAAACCCATGTTAGTCCCATTAAGGAGAGCACTTGGCACAATAGACACGGCTACCAAAGGAACATTGATACAGCTGTGTGAGAAATACATCCCATGCATCTGTCACTATAGCCCATATGATGCAGTTAACAGTTACCAGTGGATTAATTGCATCAAGGGCTATAGCAATTTTATTTTTGTTGTTTTCAACTTTATGAATCATTTGTGGTCAGTAAAAATCTGGAGAGGCAGAACTGGAGAAAGCAGTAGAGCACTATCTACACAAGAGAAGTGGAAAACATGCTTCAGCTGCACAGTTAATCAGAGAAGTCTTCACACAGCAAAGAGCTCTTTCTGGATGAAAAGAGCACACTCTCTCTTTGGAACAGTAACCAGAAAATAAGCCAGGATATACAACTGTTGATTTCACTTTCAACCCCCAAATGAATAACCTGCAAAACTTAGAACACATCTACCAGTGAAAAGCTGAGTATACAGTCCTATTCATGGTCTCCATGGGAAGTTAAGTATGCAAAAAAACATTACAGAACCATTAATTTATCTATAGATGTATGCAGGCCACCCACCCTTCCTTCCCAAGAAGTGCAGGACCAAAGTATTATAATCCTTTCAGAAATTTTGTTGCTACAAGCAAGAGAGAAAAAGTTTAAGTCACAGAGGTAAAGTTTACTTGGGAAAAAAAAAAAATCTGGATCCAAAGTTTACACACCCACCGTATTGTCCTCAGAAATAAGGCAAATGATCAGTAATTCTCCCATAATCTGCACAGGTATTACAAATCTTCATTTGCCCTTCAAGCAGAAAACTCCACTGTACTAAAAAATTAAATGCAAGTTTTAGAGTTGCTTTGTAGTTACAGTGGTCTAAAGACAGAGGTAAAGCTCTTTCTACAGTGGAAAAGATGAGGCAGTGTGTGAAGTATTTTTCATAAATTATGAACATCATTTAAAGCAGACTACTAACCTCACCTCGTTGGTTTAGCACCGTCAGCGGTGGGGAGAGTATCAGCTCAGTAAAACTACAACCCCTTAGTTAGTTCTAGGGGCACTCAGTGATACTCTCTACAATTTTATTAAGTGATTGAGAGATTCAAGTAATAATGAAAATAACAGCTATGCTACTTAAAACATACCATCCCATGCAGCCCAACCTGTAGTGATACTCAGGACTCTGCTTTTAACTTAGTATGCAGGCATAGAACTGACCAATTATATTCTTGCCAGCAACTCACAAGGGGGGGAAAAAAAAAAACCAACCAGCAACAGCGTTAAGTGATCAATGCTGAAAATTGACATGAGCAAAGTAATCCCAACACATTTAAATCTACTTTTAGACACCAGAATATCAGCTCAGCTGAGAAGTTTCTGCTAGCAACATCCTTCTCCCACATCACTCGACTTACAAAAATCATATCCTGTAACAAGGCCACATAGCTACTAAGCTCAGCTATCCAAAGTACTCATATCTGCTATAAAAAAGCAAGACGTTTATTGTTCTTACTGTGAACTACACAATTTCTATGTAGAAATGCAAATGAATTGCAACTATTTATATTATTACAGCCTATTTTAAAATGATATGTAACAAGCATTTCAGCAAGTATTGGCAACACCAGCGTATTTGACCTGTAGTACAATCCGATACAAACACAGGGTGTGAATGGAGTCGTTATTCCAAATTTATATAGACAGTATGCTTTAAACCAGAAAGCTGATCTCAGCTCCAGTAATAGCAAGAAAGGATGTTTTCTCCTTCATAAAACAATATACACAAGCAGCATATACATAATCCATATTTTACAAAGCACTTCTGGTTTTAGTGACTGGTCTGGAGTTACCGAAGTTATACTTGGTTCAAAATGGAGTGTTCCTTTTCGATACAGGACTTTCCTTGCAATGAAAGCGCAAGTCCATCTGAAGCACCGCAGCTCCCCTGCCCCATGTCTCAACTTTCGGAAAACATACCACACATCATGCTACAAAGCACGGTTATCAATGACAAAGTTGACCTTTTAAATGCATTTTAATACTACAGTTTTCCCACTGGAGCTTACTTAAAAATATCAGTGGGTGACCCTTTAAGCAGTAGCATTTTGTATGTTAAACCCCTTCATCTCAAGCACCCGAGCAAGCTTATGGCTGAACATCAATGAAGTCAGCCAGCTGCAAGGCAATTTTCTCCCCTCAGGTTTTCCACTGAAACATGACACTGAAAGTAGCACTAAGTGTATTTTCCCTCTCTCAGTTACAAAAGAAAAGAACAGCTAGCTGCCCCTTGTAGTCTTATCTCAGATTCATCCCGATAAAATTACCTGAGCATCTTTAAGATAGTTTCGGGTCTACCCTTGAACATTAAGAAAATGGATTTAAGATTCTCCCATTACCGCACATATTTAAAACGGCTGCACAAAGGTGACCCAATTCTAGAGAAAAATTGCATGATTTTGCTCCACACATAGAATGACAAGAAGCAGTCCTGAGAAATTTAGCTTATCATTGGATTACTTGATAATCAGACTACCTCACTGCATGAGCCAAGTTTGTCTCACCCTTCTGCCAGCCTTAAAAGCTGGCAAAAGAGCTTCACTTTCCCAGGATTAGAAGGAACTTGAGATGTTTTCCAGCAAACAAAGAAAAGTCTAGTGAGTTAAAACACCTTTAAAGAAACTGTGATACTCAGTACACAGAAGTGATACTGCTTTTTCTAAGTTGAACCACATACAAAAGTTAACTTCAATAGCTGATTAACATCAGTGGTCTTGATACAAGATCAAGTCATGGTTAATGCTCTTCTCCAAGGAAGCTCTTAGGAGCATTTAATGATTTCAAAGCTTCCCACTCACGACGGGGCAACAAGATCTACACACTTGTATCGTGAAATATATTTAATTCAACACCAAAATACTTGTACAAATGCTTTATTTAGCCTTACGGAATTTGACTTTGCTGTATAATGCAGTTAGATACCAACCACTCTGAGAATGTCTTTAGTGTCATGGTGACAGGGAAAAAGAGCAGTTTTAGATTTTACTCCCCATTTTGAAAGGTGGCAATTCAAAATAACGCTCAGCTTGTTTAGCATAACCATCCAAAATCTTGGAAGTCAGAGGGTTTTCCCAGGGGGTGAGCAGCTCAATGCTATGTAAAACAGCAGCAGGAACATCAGACTCCAGTAAGATGCGGTGGTCAGTATATTCATGCTACTCCAATGGTGCCTGCTTTAATTGTCTTTTTAACTCTAAAGGACACAAGTAAAGAGGAAGGAGCAGTACAACATACGTGAATGCCACACCAAGTTCAGTATCATCAGCTCACATGCTGAAAGGCAGCATATCCAAACAGTTTGGCACAAAAGACATTTATGCTCCAGCTCTTAACAAAGTAGTACTGGATATGGTGAACCCTTTACGTACTATTACACATTTTCTGGATTTTTCTCAATGTAATTATCAACCATGGGTTCTTGAACAGGCAAAACACAGAAGGCAGCATGCTCAACTTTCTGTAAAAGACTGGAAAAAAGAAATTCATTGCCTTAACAAAACATCGTGTGTGTCTCCTCTTGCATGCGTAGAAGCCTGGATTTTTTTCCTTCACAACAAGTTCCAAAAAAAAAAAAAAAAAAAAAAAAATTATGGCTTCTTGCACTGCAGAAGTGCATGGTTCAACCAAAACTCAGCATTACATTTAAACTAATTCAGAAAACAAAAACCAAAAACAAACTAGGGAAAAGCTGGCAAGTTTGTCAAACTCTACAGTAAGAGGCAAGCCATTTTTATTTTACTGTAAAGCTGTAGTAAGCTTTTAGTCGTCGGGTATCTCTGAGAATCTTTATTAACATCAGCTTTTTTGTTAAAGTAGCAGCTACTGTTTAATTCCACAGTACAACCAAAAGGACTGAATTCTTTGGTGCAGTTCAAAGCCTACACAAGCAGAAGTTAGTCAAGTAAGCATACGTTAGTTATGTTGGGATGACCACCCAAAGCAGAAATGGCTCTATTATGCGTAAGGTTCCCTTTATCTCTATGAGAACACTGATATGATGACCAGGATACCCTACCAGGCTGCAGTCTCATCTCAGCCATTCAGTTCAGCTGTTCTACACTAACACCTTATTATAGGCAAATAAAACAGTGGACTCGAAGTGCATAGAACTGCAGTTAGTTTCTGCAGTCCTGCAAGGATAGGTTCTTGGCACTTATCTGGAAACAATGAAAGTCTATTTTTGTTACAATTGTTTCACAATTTTCTAGTTCCTAAAGTGTAGAATAGGTTAATTTTTTTTATTATTTGGGGGGGTGGGTGGGAAGTACTTGAGGTATTTGCTGCTATGAAATGAAGCTTACATATGCAGTAGTAAACAGACACTAAGCACTCTGTTTCTCATTTATTTCAGGCAATGACAGCGGTAGAATTTAAACCCTCATGTGGGATTTAAACCCTCATGAGGGCACAGCCAATAACGACATCATATAGAGTTTGTTTTCTACATAGTCAAATATATAAAAGTTTCATGAAACTCATCACTGGGACAGCCAGCACAGTCAGTCCATGAGTCGTCTATTCAGTTAGACCAAGCTTCTTCTTCAGAGATTCTGGCATTTCAGGTGGAGGTGGACGAGGAAGTCTGAAATAAACCTTCACAGAATCATAGATGAACCACTGTAGTGCAGTCAGGGTACCAATCATAATGATACGAGCAAACAGACCTTTCCATACACCTGTAGAGCAAAACATAAAGCATGAGTAGTGTAAGAAGCCAGGAAAAAAAGAAATCCTCCCCAAAACACAAAACACCACAAACACTTGATCCAAAATACATGAAAGCTAGGATGTACCTTTGAATCCAAGCCTCATAAGAACCTGTGAAGCAGAACTGCCCTTTTCTTTGTTCAACACAGACACGACGGAGTCAGCAGGATGGGAAACAATTGCACAGAACACACCAGCTGAAAGAATAATTTGACATTAGTTCTGTGGTGTTTTAGCTGTACCATTACCAATTGAAACCACATCTTTTAATAAATTGCACCGAAGTTATGTCAAGCCTCCTGGTATCCTAAAAGGACAGCAGGTACATACTTATAATGTGACGTGAATATTAAAAAACACCTCGGTTCTGCTCTTGCAGCACCTCTTCTGACAAAACAAAACTCCTTCTGAATCTCTGGATATTGAAAATCCCCCTTCCACCCAGATTTCTCTCCCCTTCCTTCAACCTTCCCCAGCCTAGCAAAGATACAAGTTTTTTCACTTAAATCAGCTGCAGTTTCTAAACTTGGACATTAACATTGGTAATAGATAGGAAGAGTATTGTCCTACTACAGACCCATTTTCCACTTACAGATTGAATACAGTTTTTTCCCCTGCGCATTTTAAAGTAACAAGTAAATTCTCCCATTCTAGTTACACCTATCTGATAATCTGAAAAGGTATAGGCTTCTAGAGTTGCGGTAGTCCATTAATGAAGTGTAGGACTTAAAGGTTCCTTACCAATATAGCCCGCAACAAATGTGACTACCAGCTGTTCTCCTTTTGTACATTCACTTCGTGGCTTGGGAACGACGTACTTGTAGAGAGCTTCAACAGTACGTTCAAAGCAGGCAAATTTCATCATTGTGTACGGAATCTGTCTCATCCATAGAGGAGCAACACCTTTATAGAAACTTAACCAGAGAAGACACAAACTCAGTTTCATTTTCTCCAGTACTTAAGGTACATTTCTAACTTGAAAAAAAACTAGGTTATTGTTGCTATCCAGAATACAACTTCTAAATACTGACACTGTAAGGCTTAAGTGTCTCAATACCTACAGAACAGAAATTTAAGTTTTATTAATTCCCGGTACGAACTTAAAACAGCAACACAAGTTAGAATTTGCCTGACCCTCACATGCTGCACAGCTGTTTTTGTGGTCACTTTTCAGATTACAATGCATTGCAGTAATGCAGTACTGACACTACGAATGCAGTAAGGCTCATGTCTGCATACCAGCTAAGTCCCGATAGTGATAAATGACTTGTGTATTTACAGCCACTTCTATCAGAACAGAAAGCTAACATGCAGTTATATTACTCTTACATGCCAATGACTCAAGCATCTTTGACTGTACAACCAAAAAGTTGCTGAATATCTCTGACTGGAACTGCTAGAAACCAAAGTTATCCAGCAGAACTCAGCACAAAGATACTCACAAAGATGGATCTAAGGAGCATGTGGAATTAACAGCTAGTTCAGCACAGATTCCCTAAAGTATGTTAAGTTGTTATCTTGAAATACAAAGACCAAAAAGTATTATAAGCTAAAGCCACAATTAGTTTTAGGAACAGTCTTTCATTAGGAAAAAATACTTAAGATCAAGAACCTTAATAAAAATAAAAATTAAAATCAAGAGATACTTACGCCCAGATGCCTTCTTCTCCAAACATTTTAGGTACAGCCTGCCGCAGAGTGTTAGCATATCCAGGCTGTGTCTGAATACGAACTTTAGCAGCTTCCATTGGAGCCAGAGCAATGTCAGCAAAAAACTCCGCACTGGCAGATGCAGCTAAATATAGCGAAGTACGCCACAAATACGCATTTTCCTGAAGTGAATTTAAACACACATTTTTATTAATGAATCGTGCTTTTGTGTTTACTCTGCGTTACTAATAGTATTATGTTGCAGATATATAGCCTCACGTAAACCACTAAAGGCTTACCTCTCCCAGCATGTTGCCATATAGGATTTTGAAAACTTCATAGAAACCAAATTTACAAAGCCCCTGCATGGAATAGCCAATAAAGGTTGGAGCCCATCCCTTAGCCAAGCCACGAACACCATCTTCTTTGACTGTCACTGAAAATCCATTGAAGATGCTCTTGTATTTTTGTGGATCAACCTAAACAGAACAGGGAGTTTATTGCTTAATATAGCTTACTATTTCCTCTTTCACACCCCCATCCAAAATATAAACTTCTTAAATCCCTCATACAGCTGGCTTCCTAATGTTCCCTGGACAGACGATGTACTCACCACATTCACTAATGGAACTGTAATGGTTACTTCCTAGTCTCAAACCCTAACTTATTTTAACAGCCAGTATGTTCCTCAATACTGAGGAACCACCAAATTTGTGTCTGAATTTTGCTTTACATTTATTCTCCAAATCAACAATACGACTTTCTGTATTGAAAAGATTTACTGAAATCACTATTCTAACACTGTCAGTAGTATACTGGTATAATTACATTTAGATCCAATTCTTTAAAAATTCACAGCTTCTGTCAGCAATCTCATCCACTCTACACATCACACCTACATACACTCAAGTGTCGCCACAAACCAAGCCTGACGATTCACCTGACTCTTAATCAGAAAAGGTTATTTGTCCGCTGTTAGTTTGATCCCTCCACACAGTCAGACTAAGACAGATGGAGCAAAGCAGATCAAGGAGTACTCAAGAACTTCTACGCTTGTACTGTGACTTCACAGTACAGGCTACATACAAAATATTTTCTGCACATAACACTTTGAGTTACTGAATAACTTACCAGAAATTTAAAAAAGACCAATCTGAATAATTTTGTTTCATGTGAAAGGAAACCATTTAACAGAAATTCTTAAACAGGTCATTCTGACAAATTTTAAGTCGCATCACACTGTTACTTTTCATAATTGACAACATCCAACACTTCCTCAGAAGGACAAGAAGATATCAAATTACAAGTCAACCAAAGCTTTCAGAAAGACCTATGGGACATGCACGCCAACCTGCAGTGACTGATATTTTGTCTTGCAGTCTGGCAACAACCTATATGAGAACTAGTTCACCTAAACATGTCAATTTTAAAAGATTCAGAATTTCAGAAAATTGGATATTTAATTGGGCACTATAAAATGAGACTATGTTCATGTCAGAACCATGCTTAATTATCATCTACATAAAAGGTGACCTCTTTTTAAAAAGACATGAGAGGGCAGGCAATGGGTTTCTTCCTGGAGAATCTAGGCAGGATTAGTAACATGCTCTGTACTGGATCTGTAAAGAGGTAAGTGCTGACAGGTTTTACAAGGTCACACCTGGAATCCACATGGAACCCTCCTCTTGTACCTTCTTTTAAGTGCTGGAGAAGGAAGGGAAAATATCACCACCCTCATCACATAGGAAGCCCAGGACTGGTAGCCCAAGCCAAACGTACCTACCAAGCAGTTGAAGCCTGAGAAGTATGAGGCCTTGCTGCCAGTTGTGTATGCAGCATTGTATAGCTGTCAGGCCTTCTGCCCATTAACCCAATTTGCAATCAGATTAAGAACTGTTTGAGATGCTACATCCTCTTTATCCATCATCAAGCTCCTCCTTCCCAGGAAATTCATCCTTAGGTATGGGTAGTCCAGCTACCGATCTTGGATTTTGAAGTCCATAACAACAGAAAAGTGCACTTAAGCTACATTTTCAGAAATAAAACACACACTCAGCTACAGCTATTCCCTGCTAGTAGAAATAGGGAATTCGTACAGTTAGCCTGGTCTCAATGCAAATTTTGTAGAAAGCAGCATGTTGCCCTCATTTGATGCACCCTGTGTTTGTCTGACATGTTACAGAATTACTAGTTTGAGACCAGAATTTCAGGTGTTCTCAAGTATGCGAAAAAGCCTCTCGTGTAAAGAATGCTACATAAAGGCCTTCCAGAAGAACACAATTTTAAAGAATATCACATGCAGTACTCCTAGTGTGACTAGCAGGTCTGACTAATTAGTAGTTCCCTCCTAATTTCAGGAGTTCTATCATTACAAAATCTCCACTTTTGTAATCAGCATCAGCCTAGGCAACAGGGAAGTCATTAACTACTTTACTTCCAGAAATTTAGAAGTGTGCTTTAATTTGCTTCATTCTTGAGGCACAGATTTACCTGAATAAATCCATTAGTATGTTTTTATCCACGGTTGTTCCCTAGATTATTTTAATGTGGAAGCTGGTATCACAAATTAAGTGCAATGTGACGACACTCCTTTCAGTTCAATCAAGAACCACTTCAAGGAAACTAGCCACAAGCACTGACAGCCTTACCAATACCATATCAAATTTTACCCATTCTATTCAAAGTGGCATTATTATAAACTCTCCAATCCATAAGCCATGCATTGATATCCACAATGTTAATGGATCAAATTATACATGCATGTCACTCCAGGCTAAAAACTGTACATCTTCAAAACACCAAAGATACTATTTCCTTCCTCCAAAAGCACACGAATAGTGCTAGATAGCCTACCAGACAGCAAAGAGTAACACTGTGGTGCATGCCTTTTAGCAAGTATAGTCAGTCAAATGTGCCTTAAGTGTAGTCAAAAATAATTCATCCAGATTATCCTAAATGCCTCTGCTTCTCTTGAAAGTGGTATTTTGTTAGTCTCACAGCAGTAGACTTGATAAAGTAGCATTCAAGTTTACTCACTTCCTGTTATCCAGAAAAGACTGCTGTCCCTACTTTAAACTCTTAATATGCTGGCTACATAGAGAAAGTTTGAGAAATGTTTAAGTTAATACAAACCTGCATACGACATTTCACTAAATCCAGAGGTACAACAGCAGTGTGCGTCAGGCCACAACTTAGGACCCCACCAACGCCACAGAGAGCATAAAACTTGAGCGAGCCATATTCACAACTGTATTCTGCAGCAAAAAACAAAGACACACCATGCTTTTACATAAGCTCCATGCACTGCTGGACAATGATGTCCAGGGGATAGTTTATGCCTCCAATTCATTAGTAGATTAATTATACCACACTAAACATGCTTTGTCACAATCACCACATACCAACACGCAGAACAAACCTGTATTCTGCATTTAACCAGGTCTAGAGGAACCAATGCTGTATGTGTTGTTCCACAGCTAATAATCCCACCAAGGCCACAAAGCATAAAGAATCTGCCCGAGCCATATGCACAGCTGTATTCTAGTTAATTGGAAAAAAATTACATACATATGATCAATCATAAATGGTAACAAAGATCAGAAAAGAAACAAAATTGACTAAGTGCTACCTTCTCAAAAGTGTTAAACTGAAAACAAACTCCCATGCTATATTATTCAACTATAGTGTTATACTCAAAAATAATTCCCTTGCTTTAAATTAACACCTTTTGGATTGACAAGATTTGATTCTAGGCCTTCCAAATTGAGTTTGTTCCTTTAAAAAAAGCAATGGAAGTCAGTCAAGTTTTAGCTTACAGCACATTTAAACCATAGAAATTAATCCCAGAAGCTGCTAGTAGAAATTATGACTTGAAGTTGCAATAATATCCAACATTTTCTTACATCAAGGAATTAAGCAAGAAGAGTGTTTCTCTATTATTCTAGAGACAAAGCTTCTTTGGTTAAATATCCTGTGATACTGCAACTTCTGTATTTAAGTAGAGACCATACAGATCTATGAGATCAGCGTTGGATTTTTCTTTATACAGATATATTTTTCAGATTCTTTATACGGTTTTAAAATTTTCTTTCAAATACAGAGTCTCAGATTTATACAGCTTCTGTTTAATGAAATTGCAGAATTTTATTAAATTAGTCATTACATTCAATGCTCATAAACAATGTTCATTAAAGAATCTTTCAGATCACATTTAATAAAGGGATATTTCATTTGCACTGTTCTATACAGTACTGCGTATAAAACCATCCAGTCTTGAAAGAGCAAGTTACTTTCACAAATTCCAATAAAGTAAAGTTACTGGAGCTGAAAAGCAAGAATCAGTTTCCCTCTTCCATTTTTGAAGAAACCACAGAAGGTATGATTATGTGCAACCAGAAAACACTTAAGTTCACAATTAACAGTACAAAATAAGCATAAGGTAGCAGCACAGTTCTGCTACTATGTTTAACATTTTAAATATATAAGCAAAAGTAAAACTAATCTATTGAATAAGCATATAGAAAACAATACACTATGTATAGAAAATATTCCCCAAAGTAGAAAGGGATAATCTAGATTCTTTTGCCATTGGATCTAGTGGTGTTACTCTAATATAATGGAATAGACATTAAAGTGTTACATCAACTTAGTAAGAACTATTTCCAGAGAAACGCTAATGAAAATCAAAAGACAGCAAAACCTTATTTTATTCAGACCTTCTTTGCCCTGTCTTCTTGCTTCTGAAATAAAGTCCTTCATAAACATCAACAAAAATTTACACTTACATTCAACAGCATCAACAGAACACCAGTTAACACTAGCAGGCTTATCCAGCTCGTAACTTTGCTCTTATAAGGGAACTTCTTCCCCAAAATGTTCCAGATTTTACGGTACATTTTACATTCACATTTGTCACCTTACTCCTCAAAATTAATCACCAAGACAATAAAAATATCATTTTTTTCTTTATTCTAAAATAACAAATACCAAATCACAGACACCGTATTAAGCCTAAACTCAAAGTGAAGAATCAGTTAACAGTCAGAATAACGCACAACCTATGAGAATTTTTTTAACTGAGCTACTGCTCAAGACCGTAAATATGCTGGTCCGGGACTTACACATACCTCTAAAATATCTTAGTTATGCTAGCAGATTTCCAGACAGCAGTAATATTCTGTTTACAACTTGCCAGAATGACTGGTAAAACAAACACAAACAAGGCTTTCTAAGCAGGTGTAATCAGAGAACAGACTCTGGGTCTGTATTATGGGGCAGCTCTGTCTAGCTGTATCTTTGGCCTGCAGCACAACAGTACTGCAGTAGTTACCATGCTGCCCCAGATATCTGAAGTGTTTGTTCACACTCCTTTTTTCACAACAATTTCTGTTAGAAGTCATACTCCTCAACTGACAGACACAGACATTTGTAGAAGCCACAGAAAAATAGAGCTTTATGTATCTGCTCTATTACAATGGTATTCAGACTGACCTGTCAGCTAGGTGTTCAAAAACAGTAATTAAGAAAAGCAAGCCAGTATCAGTTAGGCTTGAGCTCTTTACAGGTACCTAAGATCATAGTGGTATAGCAATATTAGGAAAAAAGCCATAGTAGGTCCCAGACTTTCTATTTCGGACTGTTACCTGAAAAGAGAACCAGCTAAACATTTGGTACAGAGAGCAAGAAAGTTATTCTAACATACCTAGACACTGACTTAAGACAAACACCCTGAAGCTACTCAAATATAAATATACAGCACAAAAACATGTCTACTCTGTTAAGACAGCTACATCATAACTATTTCATTTCTTTGCTTCTGATCTGACACATCAACAAGGAAAAATTCCTAAAGCTGATCATAAAACACTCTGCCTCTGAGCTGTGTTATGGTTGATGCCCTGAGCTGAACTCAAAAGGTCTTGTGGTTTGTACTGACTTTGTGTGACCTTGCATAAGCTCAGATATCTTCTGCAACACGTTACTGTCCCAACACAAAGGCCAGAGAACCAACTGGTATGTGAAATAATGAACACAGCAGAAAAGACTACAAAGACTAAGAAACTCTGGTCACATTTGACTGCATCTGCCTACATACCAGATGTAGATTAAGCATAATGATTTTAAGAAATAGAGTGCACCTACTGAATATATTTAGCACACTGGAGAACAATCTAGGGCTTTAGTTAGCTAGCAACAAGATTACTACACTGAAAGCCAGAAGTACTTTCTTGAAAACTTAATAAAATCCAACACCCAGTTCTGTCTCTCTTTCACATATTACATGAATGTTAATGCAAGAGCACTAACATACTTCAATAATCACAGTACTTCAGAAGAGGTATCTTGCTGAAAGCACTTTTACTTAAATAGAGAGATGCTTTGAAGTTATTAATAGCTTAAAAGAATTGGAATTTTAACATCTACCTCCACTGTTAGAAGTATCATCAAGGTCTACCTTTGCAAGTCACGAAAATGATCAGCAAACACACTGAAAGCACTTGCGCTTAAATCTAAAATGCATCACTATCTTAGACAGCATAGCTATCTGGTGTATGCCCCACTACAAAGGGGAACTTTGTATTACAAAGGAGAAAAGAAAAAAAAAAACCACCACAGAACAGCTGCAGGCACCTCTAATGCGTCTGGATGTTCAGATGTCCCCCTGTGAATAAACAGGGGAAAAAACAAAACGAGTAAAAGAAAAAAAAGGATGGGAGAGATAGCCTTTCAAATCCATCCAGATTCACATGCTGCTCTTCTCCACGGAAGAAAGAAGTACGGGCCTACAGCTTCAGTCCCCGAGGCTGCAGGCCCAAAAGAACGAGAAGCAGCACTCTTATCCCCAAGACAGAATCCATCGGGGGTCTCTACAATTACCCTGAACTAGAACCTTCCTGTGTCCTTCCCCGGTAATGCCGGATC